GCAAAGATTATCCATTTAATGCCAACCGCAATCTTAAATTTTTTCAATGTTCAAATTGATGAACAGATTGTGAATAAAATTATACGACATAAAAAAATAAAAAGCATTTCATTTTTGCTCTTACCATATAACTCCTGCAAGATTTTGGATTTAGGCACATTCTTAATTTATTCAAGTAATGAGTGGGTGAGTTCTTGATGTTAACCAATTCCTATGAAAAAAAAAAATATAATTACTTCACCAAATAAATTGTGTAAAAATCTATAGATTTTCTGAGAAAGCTAGTATTAATATTTTAGCCAAATAAATAAAGCTTGGATGTAAATAAATTATTGTTTAATTGATAATATGAACGGCCGTTTACTTACTTGAGCACATATAATGTCCCATTTCATCTCGCAATTGTAGCTTTTCATTAACTCCGCTTTATCAGGTGGCAAATCCATGGAAGCCTAAAAAGCGCGGGAACATGTGTATAAAGTAGTAATGATCAATGTATATATTATACTATATTTAGCAGGATATAAAATAGCTTACTATAAAAGTATTGAACCTTCTCTCCAGTTCAATTACATCAGGTTTTGTTTGTTGTATCATTCCAATTAGTTTCCTCTGAAGGTGTTTGGTTATCACATATCCTGGCATGTTGCACATCTTATTTTGCAACTTTGTAGGATTCTGACTTGGTAATTCCATATTCCTAACGCATGTGTTACTGTATATTATGAATACTGTTTTTATTTACTAAATTAAATTAACAAAAATTACATTAAACTCTGCAACCGCCTCGTTTATCTATGAATACTACTATTAGAATTGTTCTCACAGCGCATGCTCTATATCAGCGGTCGCCAACCTTCCTGTCCTCGCGAGACCGAAATGTAAATGTAAGCCGACATGTAGACACTTTTTTCTGCTAACCGAAGATTGCCATGCTCCTCTTCATGTTTGGGAGGTAGTATAATGGTTTGAACCGTAAAATATTTATGCTCGTTAGAATTCTAAGAAAGAATGCTTTTTATGTTTTTTAATTCAAATAAATATTATCAATAACTTATTAGCCATGAACAAATTCAAAATAAATATAAATAGTAAAATAATAAAAAGTACGAAAATCAATTGTCAATTTCTGCATTTCATATTTATGTTAACGGAGCATTATATTAAATAATTATAAATGATCTTATTTACAACATACTCTCTGTGACCGGCTGTACATTGCTTTATGCTACAAAATATGTATTATCGTTAATCTTAGAGATCACGTACAGTTGAAAACCTGATAATTTCGAGTAAAAAGAGACAAAAAACTCAGTCTCAAGAACGGACATCTCTAGCATATACATTCAAAGTAGTATAGTTATCTCATTATCTTCTTTATCGATAAATTTTTACTGTGTGATAAACTTTAAATTTAATAATAATAAATTTTGAATTGGTTATGTGATTAGAATAAAAAAATAATTAGATTTATATTGGAATATGTCAGCAACATGACATTATAAAATTATAAATCTCTGTATTGATACTACATATATCTTACCTAGCTTAAAAACTCGTCGTTCCGCTCGTATACCTCGTAAGAAAAAAAAATTATCACATAAGAAAAAAGACTAATAAATACTTATTGTCTATTGTCTTTTAATCTCCTGAAGATGCGTTACTTAGATTAAGTTTTTTATATTTTACAATAGGTCTTGATTTACTTATTATATTATTACTACAATTTTATTAATATAATAATTTGTTATGGATCTTGAAATTTTCCGAAGAAATTTGCCTTTGATTATTTTCTTAACTTTACAGTTTGTTGTATTTTTATTATATAAGATTTTTTTTTGAGTAAATATGACATTTAATCATCAAAATGCTGTAGAGTTTGCACGAACCATTCTTATCTTTCCCATTTCTTTCCATGTGAAGCTGCATGGTTACGGTACTGTAACTATGGACCAAAAGACTTCGTAAATACCTAATTTTTCTTTTCTCTATTAAAAATAAAAATAATAATTAGACATAGCAAATTCTAAGTTTTAAAGAGTTTTGTTTACTTTTTAAATAAAAATATTATTTTAATTTCAAGTTATAAAATGTAGTAGTAGATTTTAATAATAAAAGATACAGTAGAGATTTTTATACAGTCGGGATTATGGTTGTCGGGAATTTGATATAGATCCATCGAGATATTTAAGGGTTTGCGTTTGAATCGATTTAAAAATATTGGCAAATATTTTGATTAGTTTATCAAAAAATCGTGCTCCATTAAATGTATAATTATAAATAGATGATATGTATATCTTGCCAAAATTACTATTAACTATTGTTTTTTCAAAAAATTGTGGTATAAACAATAAAAAATAACGGCTCATATATATAAAATAACACTGCATATTACATCGTTTATACTAGTGTAGTACTGGTGACTCCTAGCTCTTTATTGCACAACTTGGTCAAGTTTCTCGAGGCATTTGGCTTCCTGACCAAATGCTCACCACCATTCGGCGCCTTCCTGTGCAATTGCGATCACATCTTCTTTGCTACGTCATGGCCATGGCAGGCCTTGTAGAATCATTCGCCTCTCTGCGCTGCTTTTCCTGGTGATGTGCAAAGGGCAGCGGTAAAATCAATGTTGGATTGCGTCCTTTTCTTCGCGACATTCATTTTCTTCAATCCAATGACTCTTTGCTAAAACCGCTTCCAGTAGTATCCAAATTTGCAATGTCCCGTGATCTATTGGTGAGGTAGCTCGACCTTCTTCTCAGAGTTGCTCCACCTTCTCTGCCAAGCTTCGGCAGAGTCCCAAGAGATTAGCGATTTGAGGGTACCCATGTAGTACTTGTCGTTGTTGATGGGCCTGCCTCCCATGTAAACGACAAATGCAGACATTAAATATTATTATAAATTTTGTTTTCGGATTCATCTTGTCATTATTACACCCAGTAGTTAAATAACAATTTTAAAATAATGGACCGCGAAAATATTTTAAAATTGTAGTTGAGCCGCGAATATAATTTAGGATATATTAGGATATATAAGTCTATCCTAATCGATACACTTTTTTATATAAACAACACCAGTGTTCCGCGGAACCAAGTAAATGTATTGACTGTTGGTATTTTAAATTTCAAATTATGTTCATCACTTTATTGAAAAATAATTTATTGTTAGGCGGAAAGACTTATGGTTCAACGGCCGTGTGATTTAATATATACGTTTTTTTATTTAGTTATAACTTTAAATATTGTTATTATTTTATTTTAAATTGTTTCTTTTTCAGGTGTATTTATTGCATATCTATCATAATATATGTTTTTGTATGTCATTTTATTTTATATTTTAATCGTTTCATTTAACGAAAAAAAAAGTACGTTGATTTTGTACAGTTTCTTAGCATTGAAATGTTTCAATAGTAAATAATACAAGAAATACTAAATACTAGTTTTTCATTGCTGTATATCTTTTACGATCATTCAGCATCATTGGGCATAATCCCATCATTTGCATTAAATGGCTTTATATTATTATTATACAATTCAATTGATCTTTCCTTAAAAAATACTTACGAGCTTACCGTAAAAATGATTATTTATTTTTTTACAAATTTACAGATTTAAAACTTTACTAGTCATATTTTTACCGTGTAATTAATTAAAAATCTAAAATAAATTTTGGACCTCTGAGACACATGAATGTATGTTAAAGGTTTAAATCATATTGTATTACATTACATAAACTCTCCAATTGTATCACGGTAAATACTGTAACAATTTAGTTAATTTGCATACGAAACCTAATCCGTTTTGTAATTTTAGTCCATTGCTTTTATAACATAATTTAACTAGCAAAGCGAGGGAGATAAAAAAAAAAGGAACACTACAGATCATACAGCACCAGAACACAATAAAAACAAATGCGTGCACGCACACTTTCTTCTTGTTATGTCGCAAAGTTGTCACTGAACGTATTTATTTATGTACATTTTATATCACCAGTTTGGTTTGACATGTACATATGAATATGTGCATGCAATTTTTGTGTGAAATCTATTTTTGGGTGTACGAACTTCAAAATGGAATAAATGAAACTTTTAATTTGTAAATCGCAATAAGTTAGATCCACCATGACGAAAGTTAAGATTATAAGATTAATGCATTTTGACCTTTCTTTCAATACAAAATTGACTTTTCAGAGTCACTAAGTCTATATAGTAATTCAACATAAATTTCCCTATTCTTCCAATAGGTCTTCCCAAAGGTAGTTCTTGTTTTTTTCAAAAATCAGATAATGTTTATTAATTTCGATAAAATGTAACTTCCTTGTTATGCAATGCAATATTTTTTTTAAATTGCTTACTAAAAAATATATATACGATCTCCCTTTCCATTAGAGCATATGTAAGATTGAGAGAATTCGTGTCTCTTGCATGCTTTACTTATGTTGTTTAGATCAGAATATCGAAATTTATTCCAGATATGTTGTTCTTGGAAAACAAAATGCATGGTAAAGAGAATAATTTTGATAAATGAACAAATTCAAAAATCATAACATTTTTGTAAATTTCTCTATTAAAATGTATTTTAAATGTTTTTGTTTCAGACTGAATACTTAATATTGATGCGTGCTTCGGGCTCTTGCCAATAATCTCTTTTTCTTTAAACGGGAGAGAATCAAATCTTCAATTAAACATTTGCAATTTGCCTCAGTGGTAAGTCCGCCTTCATCCTTTCTTTTTTCTTTGGTTTTCATATTAAGGACCATAAGAACTCTTTACATGGTATATAAATAAACACTGGGCTCTAGTCCAGTAGTCCCCAACCCCCGGCCGCGGACCTGTACCGATCTGTAGATCAAATGTTACCGGGACGCACAAACCCCCAGATTACAAAGAAACAAGCTCATGGATCTCATTGATTTAACGTTCTAGTGAGTTAAAATGTTAAATCACGTCCCTCCATCGTCCTGTTGGCCAACCGCTCCAACTCGTCCTCCTGCTCTTTATGATGACTCTCGGAACGCACCTTCTGCAGCGTAAACCTAACCTTCCACCAAGTCAGTATGCTCCATTTCATTACCTCTTTGCGACGCTCCTCTCCGGGGACCGACGCCGTTAACCTAGGAGTCATCAGCGTATAAAGGTTCTCCTTAATTATACTGACTTAACTTTAGCATTGCGGTAAGTCATCTATATGCGTTTTTTATCTTTGATTTTTTTATGGCGAAGTGTATGCAGTTAAGAAATTCTCAAAAAGAGAATTCAGAACGGAGTCGTCGAGTACTTCCTGAAGTGGAGTAATTATTGGGACAGCGAGTACACATGGGAACATGAAAGCAACATATATGAGCCTGAGCTGATCGGAGAATTCGAAGCGGAGTTGCTGAAGAAGAAGGAGAATGAAAAGATCATGAAACGGAAGTCCGCCGGTAAGAAGCATCTCCCATCCTCCTAGTTGAGTACAACTCAATTCTATCAATATGCGTCGACTTTATACTCCACTCTGTCTGATTTATGCATTGCGGTAATCCATATGTATGCATTTTTCATATTTGATGATTTCTAGCCGATGTGTATGCAGTTGAAAAAATCCTCGACAAGAGAATTCAGAACGGCGTCGTCGAGTACTTCCTAAAGTGGAGCGGTTATGGGGACAGCGAGAACACCTGGGAACTTAGAAGCAACCTATATGACCCTGAGCTGATCAGAGAATTCGAAGCGAAGTGGCTGAAGAAGGAGAAGGAGGAGAATATTAAAAAATGAAAGTACGTCCGTACATTCATCGATTTATTTTTTAAATTTTCGTGTGCTGAGCCATACATTGCCGATAAAAAAACTTATACGGAGCGCAACAATCCACAAAATTGTTACAAACAAGGATTCAGAAATAAAGTAAAGAGTAAATAAAGATTTTTTTTCTCTTCCGGCACTATTTCTGCTCCTTTCGGGTTTAACAGCCACCACAATTTTTTGTTGGTTTTTAGGAATTGAACCAACGACCTTTCCTATCAGATTTTCGTGATACAGGCGACCATAGCCACACGGCTACGGCCGCCCCCTATTATTTTCTTGTTCATGAAAAATAATAATTAGATCATATTTTTTGTTTGTTTTGGAATGAGTAGTTTTATTAAGTTTTGTTAATTATTATTAATGAATAGTATGTATATAGTTAACCTTATTTTCAACTATTTGGATATGTTGTGCGTGCATTTTTTTGAAAAAAAAGGGAATTTGCGTGTACAAAATCTGACCAGTTATCATTCAGTATTTAAAATTAACAAAACAAAAACAACTTTTAAATTAGAAACTGCCGAATAAACTATGATTTCTATTGAATAAGCAACAAAATACATACAAGTAATTAGATATGTTTCACATTAAGATTATGTAATAAAAATTTGTTTCGATTTTCTTCAAGAATTAATAATACAAATTGAATATATTATTTTTTCTATAAAATTTGGTGTTTCCTTTTGCCCTTCAATTAAGCAATATTGATGTTAAATCGGATTCTGCTCGGGATGTCCCGTATATGCGGGATCCATGTTTCATGTAATTGATTGCCACAATTTAGGTAAGATTAGGACTTAGTACAGAAATTTGGTCACAGTTAGTCTCAATTGTTTAAAGTACATTGGGTTACAATATGTAATTATGTATACATATGTTTAGTAAGTGCAACATGTAAAAGACATATCAATTTACATGATATAGTGAGGTCTCACATATTAGTATGTTGCATAATATGTAAATTGATTTTAGATGAAGCTGTTGTATCTCAAACAGTATTTAAGGGATTCCAGCGGCCTTTCCACAAAGAATGTGTATTGATAATCGATCGAGTGATGGGGGAGATAGCGAATAACCTGAAAATGGTTTGGTTTGGCAAAATAAAAATAATAAATAATAATATTTATTGCATTAGTCGTACAAAAAAACATATATAGAAATAAAAAGAACAAAATAAATATATAAAATTTCCAAAAAAGTTAATTGATACAAAGGGCTATTTACCATAGGTCTTTCTGTCCGAAATAAGATTATTATAAGTAAATAGTGTAAACGCTATTTAATCAAATTATATTTACAAATAATATATTGTTTCTGTTACGAGCCAAGTGTTTTATGACTTTTGATATAATGAAGAGTGTACAAAGTTTTCAAAATAATTACTACATATCTATTTTCTTTGTTATAGTATATAAAAGTATTTTTTAAGTACATAACATTCAAAGCAGTAAATTAAAGAAAGTAAAAAATAAATATAATTTTAATAAAAACAAATCGTGAAAGAAAAATAATTGCTATATTATTTAAAACCATATGACTTAATTAAAACTTATGTCAGTCGTTCACATATGTGTACACATTATTACTACAAATTACTAAAAAGAAAATAATACAAATAATATATTCTGAACATCATTCGGCTAAAGAATGATAAAATTTGAAGACCTCGGCATCTTTGGTTTTCTTCGTAGTAGTTTATTTTTCGGATTCTTTCTTCGGTCTTCCGCGCTTCCTCTTTCCCAGCTCTATCCGGAACCTGTAGCCTCCGAAAGGCAAGATAAATAAAACAATCAATTTTTATTTGTACTTTATTAATTCATTATTTATATATTTTCTAATATTAAATATATTTTATAACTTATTCTCACTGTTATGCAGAAAGCCATACAATTTATGGAAACAAACCACATTTACATGCATTTCTAAAAAAGAATGCTGAAAATAAAGATTATATTATTGTGTCCCGGGATTAAAAATTTCTAGACACCGCGGATTATTTCGTAGTTATGTCTTTGTGGAGCCTTAGAGGAGTTTATAAATGTTCTCCAACAATGAACTCGCAAATGCCTGCGGATGACTAAAGAGCTGAAAAGCCTCAGGTCCACACGGAAGCTGAAATTATCAAAATCTTGGCAATAGAACAGTGCTAAGCGCACTAAAGGATATTGCAAAAGAGGGAAACTTTCCGGAGAGATGGAAGAGTGCAAGGCTTATCCTGATCAAGAAACCACCATTATGCCTCATTGATACAATGGGTAAACTGTTTGAACAACAATTAACCAAATAAGTTAAGAAGGAAATTGACAGATGCAGAGATTTATCTAAAAGACAATACGGCTTCAGACAGAGCAGGTCCGCTATCGACACGGTGCAAAGCTACAGAAGAGTTCTGTAAACAGTACAGCGCATGATAGCAATAAGGATCTGCAGCGCGTTCAGAATAATCTCCCAAATTATTGCTGCCATGTCACCAATGGAACTCTTAGATAGAGGGAGATATGAAAGGAAGAGGAGTGAGCAAGGAAACTGCCAGGGCTAGACTACTGGAAAAGTGGCAGGTAAAATGGGACAGCTCAGAGAAGGGAACCTGAACTAGATGCTTAATGCCAGAAATATGAGCCTGGATTTCCAGAAAACACGGCGAGACAATATTCCATCTGTGTCATGCTCTTTCCGGGCACGGGTGCTTCAGCAAGAACCTGCACTTTATAGCAAGGAAGGAGATGAAAATAAAATTAAGATATGAATGATTTATTATAGTATATTCTAAGCTAAGGAAATTTTAAAACATTTCTTCAATTGTATATTCTTGGAGTATTTAACTCATAAAACGGTACTTTAGTCGTTGCAGTCTCTGAATATTGGAACAGTTTGAATTATTTGTGGCTTTAAAGAATAATCGTGTATCGTTAATCGTCGATTTTTTTTGGTAACTGAAGTATTTTGTTCTTGTTTTGTTTGCAGTACATGATGGAAACAGGTATGGCAACCCCGTTCGGAGCGGCCACTCACACCGGATTTGCGGCAGAGATAAATCAACCGAAAAGATTACATATATACGGCATGTTTGATATATGTAATCTTTTAGGGCACCAGATCTAAGAGCTATGTCTGAGGTAAGTTTTAGCAGGATATATTTATTCTTAATTCAAACCGCCTTCAAATATTTAACGTTGTATGCACCTGGCACATTGCGATGCTGCCACCATACTTGAACACGACGGTGGTCCAAAAATTTCTAATTGTCGGGCTATACCCATTATTCGGTACTCCACCCTATATGGTCTTTTACTATTTGGAGCTTATTTAAAGAATTGCTGCGACAAACTAAAAAAAAATATAAACAAATTTACTACAACATGATAGAACATAAGACGATATTCAAAGTAAATAATACCATTTGCTACATCCGAATTTATCTATTCAGTAATAGATCTCTATGTGCCAACTAAATGTCTTTACTTTTTTTAAACATAAATCATTTCGACGTGCTGATTTTCTCGATAATATCTTTTAATTTTGGTTATATAAATAAATCTGTTAAATAGGTAAAAAGACATATGGTCTTGTCGGGCGATCTTGCAATAATAATCTTTTTTTTTAAATAAACTTTATAATCAAATGATTTTCTCTTTACAGCAATTTGGTCAAATATTTAATGAGAAAATAATCTTTGATGATCATAGATCAAGGGTATGTACTTTTTATTTTATTCTAATATATAATCAATTGAAAACAAATTAAGGAAAAAATAAAGCAAGGATTTAGTGTGGGGCCCGCCTGAATACCAATGAAATTTCACTGAATATTTCTATCTGACGTTGATTTAAACAAAATAAGAAAAGAAAAAGAAACACCATATTTTGTTTTTATTGGATTGAATATCAACGCTTATTTCTTTTGCGGCCCTATCTCACGTTGCGCCCCGTTATATGTTTCAGCGATGTTCGTTTACAAAGATGATATGATTATAGTTCGTTTTATTTTGGTTTTTGTTTTTGACACGATAAAGATGCCAATAATGTATAGACGCTGTAGTAGTTGGCTAAATTATTTTGTTATTTTGGCTCTTTTGTTTAATATAAGAAGCAAATGAATTATATTGATAACAACCGAATACACAATATGATCGCATATTTTTTTTATATCATAGAAGACAGGATGTTTCAATAAGCAAGTGGAATGTTTCACTTAACTAAGTAACTTAAATACGCACAAACTCTTACTCTCGCCATTTCTATTGTATATGATGATGATGCTTGGCGTGTGAAAAATAATAATTCAATATTCGTTTTGGACGTATTTAGTTTTTTTTTCTATATCATGCACACCGGATTTGCCTCCTCTATTACCATTGCAAACAGGCACACACCATTTTCATCGTACTAAAATTATACTTAATCCAATGTAAAGCAAGAAACTATACTCTACTAACGAATTACTATTAATACGAATCAAGATTTTTAATATCGGCTGTTATTTAATTCACGTCTCTCTCAGGTATTCACTTTATTTATTTAATCAATTAAGACTATTTTGCATAGTTTTTTTTCTTAATTTGATTTTAAGTGGTGTGCGCTACATCATTTATTATGTCATTGCAGGGATTCGGTTTTGTAGCATTTGCAAATAGTGCTGATGCGGAGCGCGCACAAGATCAACTTCACGGCACCGTAGTTAAGGGAAGAAAGATAAAGGCCTGTACTATTAAGTAATAGTAGTAGTAATAAGATGAAAAATATGACCTTGTATTTATCGATTACTCGTAATTCTCAAGCTAATTCATAATATGAAATATTTCTTCTTCCTTAAACATTTTGTTTTAATACCTGGTAGTCACTATAATTTTAATAAAGCTCCTGTACCACGATCGAACAAAGTTGATCAAAAACAATGCGACACGCAATCCAAAAAACCAACAAACACAAAAGAAATAACAATAATTTTAAAACGATAAACATTTGCTTAGA